TAAAACGAGTGAAATATCCAAATATTTTTTATGAATTTTTTAGTTGAAAATTTAAAGCAAAGAGAAGAAAAAAAGAAATTAAGCAATCAAAAATATTTTCGTTTGAAATAAGAAAAGTTCTTTGGACGTGTTTATTATACTGAATCGAACTAAACGGCCCTTAAAGAGCTCACATTTATCATATTTCCTTATCTGTGAGAATTACCAGCTCATTCGGCACACATATATCACAAAGTATAAAACAGGTAGAATAAAATCGTTGTCAAAATCTGAAAATAGCTCAAGGCGAGTTATATAGATTAACGATAGTTGCCCGCTACAAAAATGCGATAACCTGCAATTAAATGGGAAATAGACATCGTTAATACATTTCACGAGATAAATTGGCGAAGAGATATTTTTCAAAGACCCTTTCGGCTCATTAAATCTTGTCATTTTCTGGGGCTACAGTTATTTTAGGAGGGCTTTTATCAAGTGCAAATAATTAGGTAAAATTTCCGAGGCTTCCTTTTAATTACGGAAAAATCATCTTGCAAAGTGGTTTTATGTAGTTTGACACGTCGATAATCAATACTTGTTTTATTATTTGATGCTCTTTTCTCGTTTCGGAGGAAATGAAGAGTAATTAAATTAGGAGAGGGTGAAACAGTGGTTAGCCAGCCGTCCCAAAAAGTTACTTTTATTAAACTCATATTTATCTATTGGAATATTTGGCCTGGGAATATGAAATCATAAAATATGGAGTAAATATAATTTTGTAAATAAGTAAATATAATTTTGTAGATATGTTCTGAAAGAGAATGTGAATATTTCTGACATTTATCTTTATGTAGCAATAAGAAAATGTTGTGTTAATAGAAATACTACATTTACAATAAATCTTTGGTATAAATACATCAAAAAAGTTCTTTTTAGTTTAGTATGCTGTACTGGTAAGACGTGTCTATGGCCTTGACGACGAGTTTGGTAGGCACATGTTCATGGATTAGATCGTTTTACTCTACACCACGGCTGATAGGAAATGACATAATTTCTCAGATTTTGCGGTTTTTATTTATATAAAAATTATATGTACACATACTTGAAATGGTTTCCAAAAGGTGGTTTGGGAACTTGACCCGCAAATTAAAGAAACCGCATAAAAAAACTTTGACAAACTAGATTTTGTTGACTCGTTTGTTATCACACTAACAAAGCGTAGAAAGCAAATTTTTTTTATTCAAATTATTATTCCAAATTATTTGCTTTTAAATAATTGTTTCAGTATGCTAAAAAATCTTATACGTCACACGACCAGTAGACGCTTTGATAACTTCGCTAGTTTACGAGTTTCGCCCCATCGGGCTTGACCCATAATTCACTAGCTCGTCCATAAAACCACTCTAGTAACGTAAACATCTATTTTCTGTTTCCATGTCACACCAAGCATTTTGTGTAAATGAAAACAGTTACACAATATGCAACTTTGTAACATTGTTTTTGACAAAATTTTATGCAAAACTTTTGCCATCATTGGATACATACTGTCTTTTCTAAGTAAGAAATTGTTGTAGATCAACGTATTTTATCGAAACTAATGCAATTTGAACTATTTTCAAACGATTTGAGAACTCGCATACGTCAAATGTCGTGAATTTTAACTGCCAAGTATCATAATAAATGTAAATTAAAAAGCGTCAAACAGAAAAACTAGTATAATTACAACCTCTCGTTGTGATACTCGTGCATTGTAACACTCGCTACTGCCTGACTCGTGTTGTATCACAATGACAGTGTTCGCAACACTTGTTTTTTTAGTATGCTATTTGAGAATATTTGCCCAATTATTTTGCAGTTAGTATGCTGTTTCTGTGATATTTCTAACAATTGAAAAGTACACTTAGTGTGCGATTTATTTATAAGTTTAGATCAATATCGGAAATTAATTACATGAGTTTAAGCAACCTCTTCGCTTCACTAACTTGATGATAACAACAATCAAACTGAAAACGGTTGGTTAATTGTCAAGAAACTTTTGGGAAACACAAAGGTAAGACAAGATCGCTTTCAAAGTCCTGACAACGACGTTGTGTAAGATACATTAAATTTAGTCTTAAACAAACAATTAACTGGTAGCTCACATTAGTTGTTTCACAAGCACAGCAAACAAAATATTGCATTATTATAAAAAAAAAATAAGTGGAAGAAACGGCTCAAATCTCTTTTTTTATCCAGACATTTATAAATAATTCGTAATGTTTACTTCAGAGAGAGTTTCCTATTACACCCACGAATAACTTACCGAAAAAGGTTATAAAATTCGAAAAACAAATATACATTATTCAACAAAAATATTTCAGTGAAAAAGTTCTTTATGAGATGTAAAAAATCATCCCTTGACATAAACGAATTCAAGTCCTGTGAACTTATTCCTCTTTTGCTCCTTTGGGAACGTATACAATTTTAGGTTTTTCTGTTTAACTTTAACTACATATGTGTCCCATTCTGGGATATGTCGTCAACTTCTATGTTTTCAACAGAAAACTAATTTTCCTATTGCTTATGAAAGTTTTGGGTCGTTCCGCGTCCGTGTTATATCGAATTTTTAAATTGGAAAGTTTGAAATTTTTGTATATGAATATCAGCGCTTGTAGACATTTATGACTGTTTCATGTTTGGATTTGAATTTCTAAATCCGATAAATCACAATACTGTAGACGTATATCTAATGCGATAAAATAAATTTTACTCCTATCACTTTGAAATGTTGTGAATAAAATTTTTCTCTATTTTGAAATGTGTTTAAAATCTGTCATAGATTGGTTTAGCTGAAAAATAGGGAAATAGAATGAGAGAAAATCGATTAAGTGATTGATGATAAAGAACGTTATTCGAAGGTAGCCTCTAAAAATAGTGACTGATACCTGGGTCTTTCAGAAACGATAAAAGTTTTAAAAAAACACGTAATTACTTGAGTTTTTTTTTTCTCTCTGTATTCAGAGTCCATGTTGGAAAAAGGGTATGAAGTTCGACAGTCAAAAAAAAATTCAGATTAGCAGCGAGTAGGTGAGAAAGTATAATATAATTAATTTCCATAGTTAACTTAATTTAATAATACCTAAAAACTTTAAATACAAAACTAATATTAGTAATACCAACTTTTAAAAGTTTTAAATGAACGAATCTACTAATCCGCTTACTTTAAATTTAGAACATTAAAATTGAGGCAATTGATTGCTGCAAACAGAATAGTCAAAATTACTGGTGACCTTTTGAGGAATATAAATATAACATTAAATGGGTCGTCTATAATAAACATATCCTTAAATATTTGTAATAAAAACATGTCTCCCGAGACGAACCACTTGCTTGTGCTGTTAAGTAAAACTGTTTGCGAAACTCAATATCTTAAAACACGTTTCAAAGTGTTTTAAGTTTAAAGAACATTTTACATATTGTTTGACGAATGTGACAGAATTAAATTTAAAAACAACTATTTTCCACAATAATATGCTCACCGTGTAATTAATTACAATCAAACTAAAGTAGTTTCTGAACTATTTAAAAAAAAAACATAATATAACACTCTTATTTAGTATGTGTAACCCCATGTTAAACAATAAAAGGAAATTTGTAACAAATGTTGGCACCAAAAACCTAAAAAAAATTGAAATTCGTACAATATTTAATTTTAATCTTGTGTGAGTGGCTTTTCATTATTTATATGATCCTTTTTAATGAGTAAAAAATAGGAAAAATTTTCGTTAAAATTGTTATAAAAAAACAAAATCTGCCAATAAAAAAAAAATTGTAATAAACTCCAAACAATGATTTTATACAATATAATTTTTAAAGAACGGTAAGCCCTGTAGAATTTTTATTTAAGGCCAAATTCCAAAAATTAAAAAAATAAATTAGATCGAAATAAATTAATTAAGTATAAGCTGACATTTTTTTAATGTCATAGTATTATGGACACTTATTCACCATTTAATTTTAGATTAATTTTATTTAAAAAATTTTTTTTTTCAATTTATTTCAAACGCCCATAAGTAATTTACAATAAAATATAAATAAAGTATACAATATTACATAAAACACAGCGTTATAAAATGAAGAACTAATTAAAATGTTAGCTTACCTCTGAGATTTTGTTTAATTTTTTTATAATTGCTAGTAAAATCAATATTGTTGCAATATACCTAGATTGAAGTGTTGACAACATCTGTCTCGTGGATAGTTTTGAGCGTAGAGAGTTCGGTATGTAGTCACATCTAAAAGTGGTACATTGGGAACTGGATATTTATAGATATTAAATAAGAAGCATTTCAAATAAGTTTGACTGTCCACTTAAGATTTTGTGGATAAAACAGATGTCAAAGTAGGTTCGTCTTAAGGTTAGCGGCTGAAAACCAAAATAACTCAAAAAATAATAATAATTATCGCTTACAAATAGTATCTTAGATTCAAAGCACAGGTATTTACAAACTTTTTTTGAATATTTTCAAGTCTTTTAATTTGCGAAATACAATAAGGAGACCTGATAACACAGCAGTAATCTAAAATACTTCTGCCAAGCGAAAAGTATAAAATCGTTAGGGGACGAATATTATTAAAATCTTTTTAAAAAGCCTAACATTTTTTTGACCTGGAGACAACAGAATCTATACACTGATTAAATTTAAGTTCACAGTGAATGACAACACCAAGATCTTTAAAACTAATAACATCAGCTAATACAGTATTATTAATCCTTAACTCAAAACGAGAAACGTTGTTTTTTTTTATATAAAAGCAAATAGATTTACATTTTTCGGCGTTGAGCTCCAGGCCGTTTTTCCGATACCACTCAAAAGTACCATTTAAATCGGTTTGTAGTTTAATACTGGAAACAATAAAAATTTAGAAAACTCTATTATCTTTTTTTATGTCGTTAATAAATATGAGAAAGAGCAAGGGTCCAATATGAGAATCTTGTGGGACAACAGACGTTGTGACATAAAATTCAAATATGTATCCATTACCAACTTGAGAGCGACCAGTGAATTGAGATTCAATTCAAGATAAGGCCACAAGGGTGGCCTATACCGTAATTTTCTAACTTAAACAGAAGCCTTTTGTGATTCAAACGCCTTTGAAAAGTCAGTCAAACACTAAACCCTGCCCTAGAAAACTAGTGACAAAATTTACAAATAAGAATAAATTTGTGGTGGTTGAGTTACCCGATAAAAATTCATGTTGTTTATCTATTATAAAATTCTTAAACAAAAAAGATAGTTTAGTAGTAATAAATTTTGAGTATACACGACTGAATACAAATTAGGTAGATCTGTAACTGGTTACAACCAAAATTATTGAGAAAACTTTAATTAATAATTCGGCACAATATTTGACAAATATCGGCGGGATTAAGTCAAGTACCAGCAACAGTCAGGCCCTTCAAACACTGTCCAAGTTCTTCGGAAGAAATATGAAACCTATTACAAACAACAGCTTCAGAATATTCTAAATCACTATCATCTAAAGGCAAAGATAGTTTATAAACAGAACAAAAATAGTCATTTAGAAAGAATTAGTTTTCTTGGTACAGACATGTGCAATATGTTCTACTTTTACTAAAAAAAATTGAAGTAAATTTTAATTGTTGCAAATTTTTATCATCAACGGATCAGCAATGTCTGAGTCAAAAGTTAATTTAATTTTAATTTTTAATTCAATTTTAATTTTAATTAGCTGAAATAATAAGTTCATTTTATTTTTGCAACTTGGTTTCTTTCGTTGTTGAAATTTAGAAATTAGCAGAGTTGTAATTGCTTGTACGTTACGGAAGAGGGAGCATACGAATGACTGAGGGAATTTTCAAGAACTTCAACCTGGGAGTTGGTAGGTAGAGTCAAGATATATTTTCTAATTTGTCTAAATTCATCAGGTAATTTTCTTTTTGTAATTTGAGCACTTTACAATCTACATAAGTTTAGGGTTTATTAATTTTCCTTGCGTAATCAGTTATTAAGTTAATTATTTCATTAAAGTTATTTCATTCATTTATTGTCAATGTTCTGATGAAATCTAAGTTTTAAAATTTAGTTATTTGACAAAATTAAGCTTCTTTAAAACAAATTTGCCTCTCATCTAATCGTATTTATAATCACATAATAAATCAGATTGTCATGCTAGTAAGACATCTGTTTTAAATTTTACAATTTGTTTACTCATCTTTCCTACTTTATTCCAATTTTATATCTAGAGAGTAATACAAATATGTCTGTTAAAATTAATGTATAATTAAATGGCTTCATAAACAGCGCAGCTTTTTGCGGATTACGAAAGGTAAAACTTCAAGAGCATTTTAAAAATGCACACTTTAAAACATTTTCACGTTGCCTCATCGTAATGCACTGAATAGAATATTCTTGTAATGTAGTGAAGAAACGTGTATTAAATTTTAAAAGCAACAATAATATATAAAATTTAATCCCAGATTTACATTCTCTCGTTTCTTATTCTCAAAACTCAAAACAAAGTGGTTTATCTATTTAATTTTAATTTTAATTCAATTATTTCGAGACTTTAATTAATTAGTAAAAATCAAGTCGTATTTTAGAACAATCATAAATGAATGAAAAGTGATATGGCTATAGTCCACATCAGCTTATTGAGAAAAATAAAAAGTAAATTGTTCCACTCCACTTCGCTGCTGCTTACCACCATTAAGAGACAAATGAAACAAAGGGGAGAATAAATACAATTCTTTACCTTGTTTTCGGAGAGGACGTCCTGGTCGTTAACCACCAGACTGTACCACAACAGCCACAAAAAGTTGTTCATTGCGAATGAGGAGAATAAATTCATGTGGACTGTAATCCGGGCACACCTTAATGATCTGGAAAGATATTGTTAAATACACTATAGAAGTATACAGGTCTCAGTCTAAAAAAATCAATAGACGCAAATGGCAGGTAAATTGTGTAATGTCTTAATTTTTATACTAAAACTCTAAGAACATTTGTACAATATTTAGTTTCAATGTTGTTGTGAAACACTTATTATTTAAGTGATGTCGCTTTATTATAAAAAGAAATTAATAACAGTAGTAAAGGCTTATACAAACACAAAATCTGCACTTGCTTCTACATTTTTTAAAGAAATACGAGTACATATACATAAATACGAGTATGTACAAGTAATGAGGCAATAATTTTAAAAAGGAAAGAAAATGCCTAATAAAGAATGTGCATTAAGAATAATTAAAAATTTATTTATTTATGTTGGTATAGCTGGTGTCTTTTTGAAAACTTAATTAAAGCAACTAGAAACGGCATAAATCATTTGCTGTTTTATAAATTAATAAATTTGGAGGCGTATTGAACCAACCCTGCAATTAATTTAAGCGGTCCTTTGAGAGATCCCTCGCTTGGGTTGGCAAAACAAAACCACTTTATGTCTGCAACAAATATCTGGTCTGTGCCTCACACACCGTGGGTTTGCAAAACTAACTTTTTAAATGTTATGTACAAGTATCATTTGTTTGGAAATTATGCCGAAAATTTAGGTAACAAACAGTTAAATACGCTAATAAGTTGAAAAGTTAAATTTGTATTATACAGAAATTTTTAGAATCTTGACAAAAATTTAAGAGTTTAAAACCACTCAGATCTGTGGAAAACAAAAGAATAGTATAACTATGAAGGTAACATAAAATTTGGAATTTTAATTTTTGAGTAAAACAAAACTTAATTTTAACTCAAATTTTAAAACGTTCCACTTTAATCAAAGATTTCTATTTTTGATCTTACAATTATATATTTTTTAAACTACATTTTTTTAATGTCACAAGGTTCGAATATACCAATTCTAAAAAATACCAATGTTTAAATCCAATTTGTTTATTTTCTAATTTCTTAAAAATTAAAGAAAAAAATTTATCTTTCAGCCATGAAGTTAAAACTGTTTTTTGCTTAAGTGTTTTTACCTTTTACCATGATGTTGTCTCTTTCGCTGGTTCAGCACTTTCTGGAGAGGTAGATTATTATAGACCATCAGCATTCGAGATTTTGTGCAACTAACTGCACTAGTCATCGACTAGTTAAGTTAATAAACACTTTCAAAACTCTTAACACAAATTTCAATACCGACGCGTGACGTTTGTTATGATTTTATTGCAGGTGTCCTAATTATTTTGTTCATTTACTTGATAATTATAGTATTGCTTTTTATTCTCGATTTGAATACGTTTGCGGATAAAATAATATACATTATTTAGAGTAAAAATGAGTTTAAGTGGTTCAGTTAAATTATCTGCCTCATTGCGTTCGACAAACTAAAGTTCAGCTTCCCCACTGAAACTGTCACTTTTACTCCTAATAACATAATATAGTACGTATTATTCTATCGTTGTAAACTCGCTAAATCTCATTACAAATCAGTAAAACAGCATGTAAAAATCAGCAACATATGCCCATATATGACAATAATTTGCAGAAAATATTGACAAATATGCCTCAATATAAGAAAATATGAATCTTTATGAAATATTTTTAATAACAAAAAAAATCCAATAAAATAAAAACAAAAAACAAATTTTTTGACATTTAAATTTTAATTTTTTTTGACGTCAAAGAATTAAATTCAAGTACCTAGCATTAAAAATGGTAAAGATTAAATAAAATTAAATATTATACAAGGTATTAGCGGATTACAATTCTAATCACTAAGAAAATTCGTTATGAAAAGTCAATTTGAAGACCAGACAAATTCCGTATTCAAAAACTTTATTTGTTAATATTAAAGCTTACGTGTTTCACTTTTTGATTTTTTTAAATTCTATGTAATATGTATTTCATATTTTGAAGTTGTCATTTCGATAGTTAAAAGATCTATCAAAATGTGTAAAAAAATTAAGGGTTTCCATTAAAAAAATGTCGATGACGTCATTACTTAAACACAAAAAGTGTAAAATATTAAATAATGTAGATTATAAATTTTTTATACAGAAAAATGAACTGTTCAAGCATTTTTGCCAAAACAAAATATTTTCAGTTTTAATAAGATTAGTCCATAATTTTTCCGCTCAGGGTATATTAAATAACTATTTTTAATATTTGATAGTTGCCCATGCAGCTTTTTAAAAATATTTTAACCACTGGCACTTTTAATAAAAGATAGGTAAAATTGCCATTCAAAGAAAATGCTAGAGAGAAAAAAAAAGATTAACTAATCACTAATTTTAGGTCAAATCACTGCAAGCTACTAATCGTTTGCGTCCTGTTTAAAAGAATTGCAAGATTACTATTAGCTAAAACTCTCAATTTTCAACTTTTAATGGAATTTGCAGTAAGAAGTTTGCGACCTGAAAAAATTTGCACAAATGTGCAATGTTATACAAAAAGTGATCCAGAATGACTGAGTCTGTTGGCAGTACTGAATTTAATTATCAAATAGTATTTCTGGCTACTTTAACTTCCGGTAACCTGCCATTGAGAGCTGTGTATGACAGTCACTGTGAGTACTATTCAAAACTTGAAATCTTAAATCAGTTTTTAAAATTGAGCTAGAACATAATACACAGGATGTCCCAGCGAGTTGGTAAAGTCCAATATGATGAAATGATAAAATTTTAAAAGATTTATACAGAACATTGATAGACACTAATCTAGTGCATCACCTGAAATTATTTTCAATTATACAGCATGTCCCAAAAAGAAGTTACAATACAAACTTGTGTTTTTAATAAATGAGACACCGTATGCTTCTTGACATTTTTGGATGTAGATTTTTATGACAATGTTTTTAAGCTAAAATTTTATTGGTCGATTTTGCTTAGTTTTAAAAATAAGACGTTTTTTAACGAAAACATGCACGTTTTAAAAACTTATTCACAAAAACTGAGACAGCTAGAACATTTTTTTTCTTATTTTTGCAAACAAGAAAGTACAGAATTTCAAGCTGTAATAATTTTTTGGTGTTTTGTATAGATTAAAAAATGAAGAAGTTTGTTTTCATTTAAAAAAACACAAGTTTGTATTGTAACTTATTTTTGATACACGCTGTATAATTGAAAATAATTTTAAGCGGTGGACAAGATTAGTATCTATCAATGTCCTATATATTTTTTTTTAACATTTCACCATTTAAAGATCACTAATGGACTTTACCAACTTGCTGGGACATCCGGTATATTCATGGGGATGGCATAATTTAGAACTGCAATTTATGACCCGAATACTAGTTGGCAATATTTGCTACATAACGACATAACCAAAAAAAAATTACGTTAAATATCTGTCAATTAAATCATTTCCGGTTGTAGAGTTGTAAAAGTACAGACAACAGACTCAGTCATTAAATAAAATTGTTTTTTTTTTAACTCTAATTTGATGTTTTTTTTTTGAGAAAAATTAACTCCACAAACCACCACATAAAAAAATTCGTCGTTCAAACTCGATTTTTATCGTGTGTCGTAAAAAATTAATTTTATCCGAATAAAAAACTCCTTGTCTAATATTACAATAAAACAGTTTTTAAAATAATGTTAATCCTTTTTTTCAAGTCAACTAAAACTAACCAGAAAAACACAATTTAAATTTTGTGATTACTCGTAGAAGTATGTTATGTCAACATTAAAATTTAATTGGTGTTTTCTTTTGATTTTCAATTATTTTCCAAAGTACTTTTATGAATTTTTCACATGCCTTTTTTAATGGCGTCATCTTTGATCTTCATGCCAATTCATCTTCAATAATACATAACTTAATCGACGTAGATATATTTATTTTTTGTTATAGTTTAGTTTAAAAAATATCTTAATTACAGGTTTTTCTTATATTTGTAATAACGTCACTTATATAAACAATCAATGTCGATATAATTTTCTATTGTTTATTCACTATTACGTAAGAAATGGATATTTTGATTGTAAGAAAATATTATAGCACTCCCACCCCTACTCTACAACATCTGAAAACTAATGGAGATTTCAGCTCAGACAACAAGCCAAGCATGTTTTTGTGGACTCAAAATTAATGTCGGAGTAGCGTTCTGCCACTTGTTGAAGCACATCACGGTAATAATCCATGAAAAATTTTGATTAAATTTCTAAGAATAAGTGTGTTAAGCAACTTCAGGTAAATAAGAACGGCAATAACTTCCGATTAATTCCGGAAGCGGAGTTTACATCGTAAATAACAGCAAAAGCTTATTAACCTCCACACTGTTCAAAGCAAACATTTTGTAAATTTCTTTTCAAAGTGTTGAAAGGCTGATTAAAATTGCGTAAAATGAATGCCATTCAGTATTCAAATGAAGCCTTAAAAGACTTAAATCGCCTAAAATACATGGCAATCCAATTAAAATATTAGTGGCTGCTTACAAATGCATTAAATTGTAATGGTTTTCTCTATTTCAATCATTAGTAATTAATATTTTAAGCTCTAATCTACGAATAGAAATAACTATTACTCAGTTATAATTATCCTCATGCAAAATGTAATTTTGCCTCGATTGCCTTTCACCACAACCCAACCCACAACATAATCGAATTATACGTGTAAATTTCTATAAAAGCAATGTACTTGTTTGAAGCCACCGTTGTTATTTATTATTTAATTACCAACTCTGCTCTAATGATTTGAATTCGTTAGACTGAGAAACAATAAATAAAAAACAATGTTCACCAAAATTAAACAAAAAAAAAGTGAAAACAAGAAAAAAATATATAGCCGGTCGTATTAAGGACTTCCTGTATACATATTATCAAATTTACAATTGATATCACAACTATACATACAAATCGAAAAATGTTGTCTTACTTTGTATCCTTTTCAAAGGAAGTGAAAATCAAATGCTATTTTCCAAGCCATAACAAAGTTTACTTTATTAATAGCGGGTTGATGTTGTCCGGAACTTCCAAAGGTTTACACGCTGACTAATAAGGTTATGATGTTGCGAGAGATACTTACTTGAAGTAAGTGAGTAGGGCAAGTGACACGAGAAGAGCCACCAGAGACACTCCGTATCCCACACAGTATATCAATATAATCTGTTGACGAAACTGAAACAAAGGTCGTTTATATGAAAACTAAACTACTCATATTTAATACTAATAAATACCTACATCATTTATATAAATTTACTTACTTCAAAATCTTCGATGTTAATACAGGTGGTGTAATTTACCCAACTTTTATTAAATTTTTCATTAAAGATCCATGTGCCGTCTTCCTCGCATTTGTAAAAGACGAGTCCTGAAACAAAATGTTGCTGGAAACTTTTGGAAAGCCTCGTTTATCATCATTATATTTCTGACCGGTCGTTTACCTTTGATATGAACTCGAAACTCATAAGTCATAAATCTATCAGTTCTTAGATATTCATTTTATTTGCATAATGCAGAATGTCTGAGTAGCTCTGAGCACCACAACTTTAAGTAATAAATTTATATGAACGTAACAGCAGTTTGCTAAAAGATGCACATGCATCACTGGAGTTTCCAATATGTCGTACCTTCCCAAAAAATGAAAGTGGCTATAAAAATGCTATTTTTTTTAATTGGACTTTTTAAGGAGATATGTTATGTTGTCTACTTCTGAAAAAAAATCTTAATGCATTCAAATTAATGCAGGCAAGAAGCTATGCCCCTAAAAATGTCAAAAAGTTAAAAAAAATCATATATGATTTCTGAGCAATCAATTATAACAAAACTGAAACTAAATAAAATTTAATTTATTTTTAAGTTGTTAATCATTTACACACGTATTGAAAATTTCTTTTAGTAAAAAATTTTAAAAGATTTGTTAAAAGTTTTAAAAAAATTTTGTCGTCCAATTTCACTCTTACTGCAGTCCAGTTTCTATATTTATTTTCTAAATATGTATCTTCACACCAGTTATTTCTAAATGCAATATGTTTAACTTCATATAATATCCGAAGTATCTTATTATGGCAACAGGTGGGTAATTTATTTTACAAGTGGGTTATATTTATCACTTAATCTTCAAGTTTACTATCCTTCCTCAAGAAATTTCATTGAAAGAAAAGACAATATAACAATGTAATGCCTGCGTTTATTATTACTTCAGTAAAACGTAAATCAATAAAATAATGTTTGAGCGTTTACATACCAGTAATACATTCAACTAATTTTATACAAAATTGTACTTTACATTTTCTTTATAAGCAAATAGCTTTTAAATCATTAAATTGTGTTCATGATTTGCAACTGTTGCCATTTACATCAAGCGACATATGGCAGAGGCAGTTGGATGTGATCAGCAGTAACACTCATAAATAATAACTGTCCTGATAGAACTAGCACATTGTTGGTGATTTAAATTGCAACCATTTGGTTAACTTTTATTTTTGTTGTCATAATATAATTTCTCTTTAATGGCGTTGGTTTTTCTTCTTAGTAAGAAATTTTCTAATCACTGAAATGGCTACTTGTGATAATAATAAATAACAACTTAACATACCAATTTTAGAGAAAATTATGAATTCATAAGATGACTTGACTAAAAAACGCATTAGTTTAATGCATTATTTTTTGATAAACGGTTTTTCAGAATAAAATTAAGTATACCATAATTTTTGTAAGAAATAAGCTTTCGCTATTTTAAACTTGATTTCATTTAAAACAATAATACAGGGTGTTTATAAATGCCTGAGCATTAAGTTACCTCTGGAATTTTTGTTAAATTTGCCGCCTTGTTATGATGACTGTACTTAATACACCTACAAACATGGAATCGTTGTTTCCACTTTTTTCTTCTGTGATATGTTCAATCGATTTGGCTCAATTTTAAGTTGGAAATCAACCTGAATCAAAGTATTTCAACCAAATACTGGCTTCAATAATAGTTTTCTTCCAAAATAAAACAATTTGAGCTATTTTCAATCCAATTTTGCTCGATTTTAATACAGAATTAACTCAAAACTAATGTATTTGTCATTTTCATAAAGTGTGGTTTCAGTTCAGCCAAACGTTAGACGTAAGTTGATAGTTGGCATTTACACCACTTGAAACAATTTCTTGTGAAACTACGAAACTTTTTGACCGGCAAGCATTAACATAACCTTACTTTTTTAATTTAACTTGTGGATACTGCTTTAAAGTTTTTGAGAATTTGAAGTTATATTATCTACCGATCTAAGACTTCGAAGTGCCTGGACGAGCCCTGAACCCCGAATTTGGGGCAAATAAACTACACATAGAAATCATCGTGTGACGAGGATGTGGAGCCCTCCACGACATCGCGACACTCTCCACGAACAAACGTTAAATTTCACTTAACAAACTCATTTTTGCTCATTTGATCCTTTATTATTCGAACGATAAATTTCACGGATTGAAAGTGTTGAATTCAGAATATCAGTCAAGCGGCAAGTGATTGTCAAAAACATGTTGACACAATTTGCAAAGCCAATTTGATGCCCAAGCATTTATAAACACCGTGTATATTAAATCATTTGTAAAATTAATTTCTTATTTTTATTTTCTAAAATTTTAAAATGCAATTATTCAGAACTAATTGTTATTAAATAGTACTGACTTATTCTGAGTATTTGTAGCAACTTAAATATTTTTTTTTGTTTTCAGTTTATTTTAGTGGCCCAGGTATGAAATCAATTTGATCGTAACGAAGGTAGTCCAAGCTAACTCTGGCTACAAATGCCGGGTGTTGTCTTGTTGAAACAATTGATTACAAGAGGTCTTGAGGTGTGGTATAACATTTGCTTCTACCACGTTCTAAAAAAATGTTTGGCCATCTCGTCGCCTGTGATGCAGACTAACAAATTCTTAAGTCGTATACTATTTAATGCAATAAATGTTCAAAATGGACACCGTTCCTTTCCGGGTAAATTGAGTAACATGCATTTCTTATCTTTTGCAACATTTCGGGTAATTTGCCTAATTTTATTCCTGAAACGCTTCTTAAGATCCTCAATGTTATTTGATTTTGTCGCAAATCACACCCGAAATGTTTCAAAACGTACGGAATACATCTTACGATCGTTTTGCAGTTTGTCAGAAATGAAACGATATCCATTTTAAATATTTGTTACATTAAATAGGATTCATCTTATAAGATTGGTTTTATTTTTTATAATGTAGGCTTTGAAAATAATCAGAAAATAAATAATACATTGCATTCCTTGTAAAACGAACTTTCAAACGAAGCGTCACTTGTCATACCATTACATTTGAAAAAAAAAGTCATAGGTGGCTGCGCATTTCAGAAAGCAGATAAACAAAAACCAAATGTGTCAAATGATGCGCAAGGAAAAATAAAAATTGACCTGTTTCAGGATTTTTTACAAAAATTGCCTATATTGAAATTGTGAACTTTATCCAGTTAAAAATTCCACTCTGTATATCCATAATCGTCCTTGTGAAAGGAAATAAGTCTCTCAAAGTCTAAATTGTAAGATGGCGATCTTTGCAGTCTTTTGTTTTTGGGCCGCGTCTTATACATCCTGCTCTTCATGTTTGACCTTCTTGGAGGCATGTCTGATACCTAAAATGCACCACAATATTGAAACTCCTGTTCGTCTGCTTTAAACTCTTAAACCCATTGTTCGCTTCCTATTGTAACTTTAAAAAAAACTCATTGGACAGATCAAAAACACAGTTAGAAATGTACTGTCCGTTAATCGTGTATTTACTGCAGCTAAAACAGCCTACCGTCACTTATCAAAACTAAAATGTTATAACATAAGACCCAATGAACTCATTTGGCTGAAAATTTAATCGTTACTTTTTTTGACCAACACAAACAAATTATTGCGATATATTCATAAATACTGGGTGTCTGATTTCTATGTCATTTAGTACACTAGGTGATTTTAAGGTATGTGCAAATATTTTAACAGGCGATAGTAGAACTGAAAAAAAAACAAAATAACTCAACTTGCCTTATCTGAATGTTTATAGTTTCTGATATACAGGGTGGAAATTCGCGCACTTCCTTAAAAAGGAGTAATTCAGTAGTCCCCCAGAGTATTGAAAAAATGTTAAAAAAATTCTATCTGTCATAAAATTTTGACATATATTTTTTGACGTTTTACTTATTTTTACGTCTATTTAATGATACTTATAATATTGTATATGTTTTTTTATAATTATTTAGAAAAAGTACAATAAAAGCCACAAATAACACTAAACAGAGTTACAATTTAAGATACAGCTTCCTTGTTTCTTCTTCTAATAGCCTGTAGCAAAAGAGGGTGAACTCTCCACACTCGCGTCGAAAGAAGTGTCAAAATAATGCAATATAAACGAAGTTTGAACTTTTCGAGTGTTTTGTCTAAAAGTTTACATTACTAGTAATCGGTAACATTTGAGGTAATGAAATTGAGTGATATCTTCAACAACAAAAAATGATTCAAAATTTTTACCGTTTGATGATTTTTTTAGAACACTTTTTTCTGTGCCTGTTTTTGCCCATTTTCACTGTTTTTCTTAAACAATGTAAATTAGAGTTGGTGAAGTTAAAAGCTTTGCTCTAAATTTAAATTTTTTGACAAACACAACCCTATGTACCTCAAAAACTATAAACATTTAGATAAAGCGAGTTGAGCTATTTTGACTTCTTTTGAGTTTTACTACCACCTGTTAAAATATTTGCATATACCTCAAAAACATCCTGTATTTAGAATAAGTATATAAACATTACAAAAAAAAAAACGCTGAATTTAACATTTGGAGGGTGTAGGCGTCAAACGGACTTCGGATTTGAATTCAGCGTATTAAAATACATAAAAAAAATACTTGATCCAGTTTAATAAAAATTTCTTCATTTTCATAACTGCAATTTTTTGCAATTATTAGCCGAAATTTTGAGGGTGTACGGACCAAACGAAATTTGGATTTTGATTTAGCGCATCAAAATAAACAAAAATAGATAGGTCTATCCAAATATACAAGCCACTTTTTTGTGCCGGTGTGATTAACTGATTAGTAAATGCAAAAAGTATTTTTAGCTTTCAATTTTTCTATAAAAAAAAATAATTCTTGTGCGAAAATGTTATCTAAAGTTAATAATCATAATTATTTCTATGTTGTATTCAAACACAAATAGTTGAGATGTAAGCCACAATAGAGTTAGTGGGTTAACTATGTAATAAAATGATTGAAATAATAATTTTTGTTTTCATTTGTAATGTAATAAAGAGCTGGAATATGTAGAGACAGGAAAATTAAATTGCAAATAATAATAAAATTGTTACAAATTTTATATTTCAATTC